CAAAATGTTTGCTTTTGTTCATAAAAAGTCATTTTTCTTGAAAACGGTTGACTTTAGAGCAATGAACCAAGAGAACTCTTATTGTGTAAAATTCATTGGCGCTTTAGAATTTGCTGTCAAAGTAAATTTTTCCAGTGGCGTAAAATTTAGTGGGGGGGGGAAACCCTTACGATACCTTAAAATCTCCACCACTGGCACGTTCAATGAATTCGAGAAGGGTGCAAAAAAGTAGCTATTAATAGTGGTAATGCGTGTACAAAAACTCACTCCTGTAGTTCAAACGGTTCCTAAGATACTGGCAAAAAATTTCAAAAAAATTAAAGTTTTGACACCGTGTATCTCGAAAACGAAAGCCCGGAGAGAAAAATGGAAGAAGAAAATAATGTTTCTTTTTACAAGTGGAATATACAGTGTTCCGTTGCGACACTTATTTAGGAACACCCTGTATATATACTTTACGAACTTACGTATTATGGCATCTCACTGTAAAATTGCGACTGAACACACACAAAAAATTGTGACTTAATACATAATACATATTAAAATTATGGCATAATAGTATGTGTAAAATTGCGACTGAATGCACACAAAACAAACTGTGACTTAATACATATTAAAATTATGGCATAATAGTCTGTGTAAAATTGCGACTGAATGCACAGAAAAAAAATTGTGGCCTTTTAGTTCCAACATTTTTAAAGCAAGTGTAAATACCTTAAACAAGTGTGTATCAAAATTCTACGAATACTGCCTGTTTGATAATGAGAAACTGACAATATTCGGTGTAATAATATAGATAGGTCACAATTGGGTTTCGAGGTAGATAGGTCACAACTGGTTGTGTGTGTGTGTGCGTGCGCGTGTGCGTGTGAGCGTGCGTGCGTGTGTGCGTGTGCGTGTGTAGGTCTTTTGAGTTTATCGGTCATGTCGGTCATGTCGACGGCTTGCCTGAGGAGGGGATTGTCATGTCTAGCGGCTACGTCAAAATGTTTTTCCGCGTTTTGTCTTATTGTCTGTGTAGCGTTTGTGCACCCTATAGTGACTTCAAGTGGCTTTTTGCCGCGTGACCCCACGCCGTGGAGTCGTAGGTTAGCTGCGGTTGAAGTACCACCTTGAAACCACCTTGGAACTGAAGGTGTTTCCACCTTTGAGTAAGGGATAGAGCCTAGCCTTGGTGGTCTTCGCTCACGCCACCGTCTCCACGATGTGCGGTTTCCACGTGAGACGCTAGTCCATCGTCACGCCCAGGTATCG